TGACATGTAAGAAAGCTGAACAGGATGTGGGACAGACCGGACCAGTCTGCTGTACACACTGGCAAGCCAGGAACCAAGGCAGGGGGCAGGTCTGGTGGGGCTTTATTGCAACTCGTTCCAACACGTCTGCAGTTGCCACAGGTTTGTGTGAGGGCCGAGTACGCAGTGGGTAGGATCAGGCTGGACTCTAACACTCATTGGTTTACACAGAGGACAGGGCTGGAGACAGAACTGACCCAGCAATTGCAACTACCAGTGTGTGCAACGGACTGTCAGAGCCAGTATTGGCAGGCACACACAAGAATCAGGTCTGGCTGCTCTCCCAGGTACATTAGCAGGGGGCTGGATCAGAAGAGGGGCAGGGCCCAGCAGCGCGGCCTAGCAGCTAAAGTCTTCGCCTTGAACGCGCCGGGATCCCATATGGGAGCCAGTTCTAATCCTGGCAGCTCCACTTCCCATCCAGCTCTCTGCTTGTGGCCTGGGAGGACAGTCGAGGACGGCCCAAGGCCTTGGGATCCTGCACCTGTGTGGGAGACCTGGAGGAGGTTCCTGCCTCCCGGCTCCTGATCAGCACAGAACCGGCTGTTGCAGTCACTTGGGGAGTGAATCATCGGACGGAAGATCTTCCTCTCTGTCTTTCCTTCTCTCTGTGTATCTTTGTAATTAAAAGAAAAATAAATCTTAAAAAAGAAAAAGAAGTGGAGCAGCCGGGACCCAAATCAGTGCCCACACAGGATGTTGGTGAACTCCAGCCCATCCTTACAGGCGCCATCCAGGTGGCCCTCCTGGACGGCCACCTCCTGCTGGGTCGGGCTGTGAGGGTCCCACTGCTCTGGGTCTTCCAGCACCCCAGTTTCCCCTTGCACCTCTCACCCTCCCTCCTGGGGCTGTGGCAGGTGCCCTACCATGATTCAAGGCCGAGGTCAGCAGCAGGCACAAAGACAAGGAGCAGGGAGAAATGGGGTCTCCACGCCCTCCCTTGTCTCCACCTGAACTGCAACCTTGCATGTTGGCTTTCAAAGCCCAGCCCTGCCCAAGTACACGCAGCACACAAAACCTGACCCGATCCTTGCCTGATCCAATCACGGCCAGAGATCCCTTGCATGCCTGAGCTTGAGCAAGAGCTGACATTCACACAATGCAGAGGTTGGTATGGGGGCCGCCTGCCACCTCCCCAGCATCCACAAGGGACACTGGTGCCCTTGCAGAATTCTGACTCCTTTGGGAGTTCGGGGGAATCAACGCTATGTGGCCATGCTGAGGCTGAGCAGAGCTGCGACTGCCCCAGACCCAGCGGTCATGGCGGTATCTCAGCCCTGGGGGGCCAACCCAGATTCCGCCAAGTTCTGTGTCCCCACTGGGAGCACACAAGCCTTGGGACCTCATGTCTGTCACAAAAGGGACCCAGGGCTGCCTGAGGGAGCAGGCTGCTGTGTCTTTCCCTGCTGGTGACACCCAGGGACCACGAGGCCAGGCCAACACCGCTGGCCTGGCCAGGTGCAAAGCCTGCGTCCCGAAGTCCACGGGGCCAGAAATTCAAACTCACACCGCCCGCCCAAGCCAGTGGCGCCTCTGGGAGCACCAGGAGCCGGCAGGATACAGAGACACATCACACCCATAGAAAAGGGGCAGATGCTGTGAGCTGAGGGCCGAAGGGGGAAGCAGGTGGGTACATAGAAATTACAAACCCCGAGACCAGGCGCTCATTAGCAGGGCCCAGGTATCCTCACCCAGCTGGGCTGCTGGCTCTGGCTCAGCCTCAGCCTCCCCACCTGTGAAATGGGGGCATGATACCCACAGCACAGAGATGACCCAGCAGCACTGGGGAGACCAGCCGTGGGAGGGCCCAGCACATGGCAGGAGCAGCTGGTGATGCGGTGCCGCCCTGCAGACAGGCATGGATGTGCTGCCGGTCCGCGGCCTCACTCAGCCCTGAGCCTGGCGCTCTGTCCACAGCCCAGGAGCCACTTGCTGGTGCAACAGAGCTCAGCAAGGAACACGCACCCTGGCTCCCGACAGTGCCCTTCTTAGTTTCGATGTGGTTAAAGCCAAAACCCTCTTCCTAGGCACCCCTCCCCCAAGCGGAGGGCATCTCCAGGACCCAAATCTGAGGGTCCAAGGAGGGTCCTGTGCCCCCTCCATCACCCAAAAGCCAATCCTCCTACTCAGAGGCGCTTGCCCAGCCATGGTGCCCCAGGGACGGCACAGGGCTGGGCTCCCACACTCTCCGCTCCCTCGCTTCCCCCTACACACGCCCCTAGCCTTGCAGACCGCAGATGCTCTGGAGGCAGCTGGCTCCATGACCTTGGCGGCTGATCTTGCCTCCCTGGGGGCAGGAGGGGGGCATCAATAAAAGAGGAGCTGCCACAGAGGCAGCCCCCACCCCATGGGCCAGCCCTGCGGCCAGCACCGTCACAGGCCCAGGGATCTGGCTAGGCTGCCTCAGGGCCACCCTCCCGCTGGCCACAGCTGCCACCTCTCCATGAAATCAGGTGCTGCGGCCTCCTGCCTGGCCCGCAGGCCCACCTGCCCCCCATTGCCACTCAGAGCCCTTGGGCCAGGACCTGCCTCCCCCACCCCCACTCTGGGATGTCCCCAAAGCAAAATGAGCTCCGCCTGGGCTGGGGACAGGTGAGAGCTGGGAGGTGAAGGAAGGACCGCAGAGCCTGAGAGCTGGCCACTCAGGGAGGGCTGAAGCACAGTGCCTGGCACAGCCCCACCCCCACCCCAGCCATCGGCAGGGGCTGCCAGGAGGCCGGAGTCAAGGCCCAGGGCCCACACCTCCCTCCTCCTCCTCCTCCACGCGCTCCCTCCCAGCAGCCCTGCAGAAGCTCCAGCCAAGGCCCCCGGGCCACGCTAAGCCCAGCCACTCCTCACCGAGCTGCCAGGACCTGCCCTGCCCTGCCCAGCCGGGCACTGCCCTGCCAAACAACCCCTCCCAGGAAACACGGCCAAGGGCGGGGGGTTGGGGTGGGGGGTGAGAGCAGCACTCCCAACAAGGACATGGAGGGGGGTGGCGGAGAGCGGGCCAGGAGACACAGAGGGGACAGCGGGCGAGTGTCCAGCCCCAAGGGGGTGCATAGTCAAGCCACAAACCTCAATTCCTGGGAGCAGGTGGGAGGCAGGGGCCGTGCTCAGAATCCCATCACCCTTCTCCCCACCCAAGAAACGAGGGCGTGGGGCACAGCAAAGATGCAGAGAGAAGAGGGGGTGACTCCAGCAAGCTCCCCACATCCACTCGGAGGGCGGGGCAGGAACAGAGGGCCAGCTGCTCACACCTGGCCTGCCCACCACGCACAAGGCCAGCCAGCGCTGCAGGTGATGCAGGGGGCCTGGGGCCTGCAACCCTGAGAATATTTACATATTCCTGGGGAGAAGGGAGAGGGCAGGGTGCGGTGGGGAGCAGCCCGAGGGGGTCATGCGCTCCCACGAGGACAGCCCCTCGCGGGGAAGCAGCTGGCTGGTAGGCTCCCTGGAGGAGAGGGCTTGTGGGCTCAGGAGACGCGGGAGCAGGTGAAAGGCAGGGAGAGCTGGGGAGGCGGTCGTGAGCCCCGCCGGCAGCCCCCCACTCAGCCCCTTTAAAAGTTTGTGCCCCCGCCCCCCAACCCGCCGGGGTGGGCTCTGAGCCCAGGAGCAGCTGCCATCCCCCGCTTCCTCCTCCTGCTCTCCTTCCTCCTCCTCCTCCTCCAGTGCCCGCTCGGACACAACAATGCGCAGGCCGGCCGAGAACGAGCCAGGGGAAGCGAGCGTGGAAAATCCCCCAATTTTGCAATGTCAAGGCGCGGGGCGCTCGGCGAGCGGCGGGCCGCAGTGCTGCCCCCGCGCGTCCGCCCCGCGGCACTGCAGCCCCCCGAGGGCGGGGCGCCGCGGTTGATCTGCTGGTTCTCGGACGCCGAGGGCGCGCGGGAGGGAGGCCGTGGCGCCTGCTCCCTGATGCCCAGAGCTGGCACACAGGGGCACCTCGGGCCGCCCAGGCCTGGAACTGGGTTCAACTCCCTGCCTGCCCGCTGCAGCCAGGGCAACAGGGCAGCAGGTGCCCACACCAGGGGCTTGGCCTTTCTGAGCCTCAGTTTTCCCCTCTGTAAGTTGGATACCCCTGCAGGTTTGGGTTGGAAATGGCACATGGACAGCCCCGGGTAAGGAGTAGCACTTGGCAGGACCAATGTGCCCCGGGGTGGGGGGGGTTCAGGACATCTGGAGGGCTCCTCCCCAGGACCGCTCTGCTTGTAGGGTCTGTCCTGCTGCCTCCCTGCCCAAGCAGGAAGCCTCCCCAGGCCTCCTAGCAGAAGGTCAGCGTCACTGGGGACGCCTGAACCAACGCAGGGGCAGGTCCTTGGAGCGCTGCACTCCCCTAAGACCCCCTTCCCCAAGGGCTGTGGGGCCCAAACCGTCCTGAACACAGCCCCAGCCCTGCCTGCCCTACCCCGCAGAACCTTGAACAGTCTCCGGTCCACCCTGGGTGGGATCTAGGGGGTACCAGCACCCTTCCTGTCCCCAGGGGCTTGCTGGGGTGCTTCTGTTAGATACACAGATAGATTTATGTTAGCAATGCAACAAACACCATCCACCTCCCCATCTCTCTCTGCCCAGTCTCCCCTCTCTGCTCCCACAAGCAAAAACAGAACTAAACCCAAGCACGGCCAGGCAGGGCCAGGCGCACACGTTGGAACCCAGAGCCAGCAGCTGGACTCGGTCTCGGAGCTCACTCTGGCCGGAGGTCGCGGGGGTCCACCCGCGCTGCACCTGCCTCCCCCTGCAGCCAGTGCGCCGGGTGCCAGGTGCCTGGCCAGGACTCGGGGTCCAGCAGCCCGGAGGGACACCCCCTCCCGCCCCAGCGCGCACCGGCGCGGGCGCACGCGGAGGCCCAGGGACTCCAGCCCAGGCAGGCCAACAACTCGGAATTGCTTCTGGACTCTCAGCTGTTAAATCCTACCGCTAGGTCTTATAAAAACAACTTTGTCATTGGAGTGTAATTAACTTAAAAAGGGGGGGGGGGGAGGCTAAAATTCACACCAGGAGGGACTGTGCGGGAAGCGGCCCCTTGGCACACTCAGCTCCAGCCCCTGGCCCCCCGGGCCGCGGGCCGGTTCCTGCAGGCTCCCTCGGCTGCGCGCCCCAGGGCCCCCGGTCCCTTCCAGGACAGCCCCAGGCGTCCGGAACTCCAGGGCGCACAGCCCGCAAGGTCAAGGCCCTTCCTCCGGAGGAGGAGGAGGAGGAGGAGGAGGAGGAGGAGGCGGCGGCGGGGGAGGCCGCCCGGGGCCAGGACCCGCGGAGCAGAGCGCGCAGACCGCAGCGCCACCCCCTCGGCCCTGGGTGCCACCCGCGCACCGGCGCCAAGCTCCCCGGCTGCCCCGCCGGGCCTGTGCGGGCTGCCAGCCGCCCGGCGCCCCGCGGACACCCGGCCTGGACCAGGGGCGCGTTTGGGGGGTGTCTCCGGCACCCCGAGGGGCGGCAGGCGGGGCCTCGGAGGCGCGCGGGCGGCGACGGCAAGCGGCGGCGCGGCGGGGGCGGGGCCGGGGCGGGGCCGGGGGCGGGGCGGCGGACTGCGGAGACGCGGCGGCGCGCGGGGCGGCGCAGAGCGTGGTCGGCGCGGAGCGGAGCGGGGCCGGGGCGCGGGGGGCGCGCGCGCGCGGGGCAGCCGGGGGGCGGCGAGGCCGGAGCGGAGCGGCGCGGCGGAGGTCGGGCTCCCGGGGAGCCGGGGCAGCCAGGAGCCGGGGGAGCGCGGCGGGCAGCCAGGAGCCGGGGGGAGCGCGGCGGGGCGCAGCAGCCATGGCGCCGCGGAGGGCCGGGGCCCGCGCCGCGGAGGGCGGCCTGGGCGCCGAGTAGCCGGGCCGGGCCGGAGCGGGGGCGACGGCGACGGTGGCGGCGGCTGCTGCTGCTGCTGCTGCTGCCGCTGCGCCCCCCGCCCTCCGGGCCCCGCGCGCGCCCCGCGCCGGGGTGGCCGGCGATGGTGACACATGCGGCGGCGGCGCGCCGGCGGCAGGACCATGGTTGAGCGCGCCAGCAAGTTCGTGCTGGTGGTGGCGGGCTCGGCGTGCTTTATGCTCATCCTGTACCAGTACGCGGGCCCGGGGCTGAGCCTGGGCGCGCCCGGCGGCCGCGCGCCGCCCGACGACCTGGACCTGTTCCCCACGCCCGACCCGCACTACGAGAAGAAGTACTACTTCCCGGTGCGCGAGCTGGAGCGCTCGCTGCGCTTCGACATGAAGGGCGACGACGTGATCGTCTTCCTGCACATCCAGAAGACGGGCGGCACCACCTTCGGCCGCCACCTAGTGCAGAACGTGCGCCTCGAGGTGCCCTGCGACTGCCGGCCCGGCCAAAAGAAGTGCACCTGTTACCGACCCAACCGCCGCGAGACCTGGCTCTTCTCCCGCTTCTCCACGGGCTGGAGCTGCGGACTGCACGCCGACTGGACCGAACTCACCAACTGCGTCCCGGGCGTCCTGGACCGCCGTGACCCCGCCACGATGCGCACCCCCAGGTGAGCGCCCGACGCCCGCGGGACGGCATCGTTGCGGACGGGGAGGGGGGTCCCTGGTTGGCGGGGCGCGAGGAGAGAACGGGAGAGGCCCCAGCGCACTCTCGCTCCTCACTGAGCCGGCCAGAGCCAGCCCTCGCTGGGCTGCTGTGCTCGCCGCCCCTTCTGACCTGCGGGGTGCCCGATGACCACGGTTCATCCGCTGCGCCGCCAGCCCTGCTCTTTGAGGCAGCTCTCATCGCCAAGCTCTCCGGCCTGGCTGCTGTCTTGGGTCCCGCAGGTCAGGTCTCTCTCACCTCTGTGCACTCTGGGTGGGGAGGAGGGCCAACCTGCCTGCTCCCGCGGGTCTACCTGCCGGCCGGGGGCACTTCTGGAATGTACGTGTGACCCCCACTTCTGCCCGTGGAGTGCCGGCTTCCCGCCGCTGTCTGGTACCCAAAGCGCAATTGAGAGAAGTGAGGTGTCGGTGCACCTGTAATGCCCCCCAAAGGCTGGGGGCGTGGAGAGAGGCCTGCCCCGGTGTGCGCAGGTAGAACAAAGGCTCCGTGTGACCTGAGGCTGGGGGTGGGGAGGAGGCAGCGCTGTAGCCTCCCCGGCCTTTAGGAGGGGGAACAAAAGCCACCTTTAGCGAAGAGTGCCATTCTTCCCCAGGACCCGCACCAGCCAGGTGGGCCCAGCTGCGGGTTGGTGGGCACCTGTGCAGCCCTGGAGGCGACAGGGAAGGGGGAGGACCCTTCATACCGGCTCCTTTCCAGGTGCTCCCTTAACTATGGGAGTTGGGGGCTCAGAGCCAGCCTGTGTGGGCAGGGGGCACTGGAGCAGCTTCCCTGGGGAGCCCTTCCTGGCAAGGACCCCCAGGATCACTGGCTGGCAGGATGAAACTTGGGATGGTTTGTGCTCCTGGTCCCTGGTGCCCCGATGGCCCCCACGGAAGGGCCCGAGTCAGCTCCTCTGCTTGCCTTTTGTTTCTTGGCCTGGTGTGCCTCAGGACTGAGTCTGCACACAGGCTGGGGTGGTGTAGGGGTGCCCGCGGCGGGGAGGCAAGGCGCTGCTTGGGGTTGCCCTCTTGCCCGCACTCAAGGGTCTGGCTTTTGGTTTTTCTTACCCCTCGGTCTGTGGAGAAAGGGGGGTTGCCCTCCAGCTGGGGCTTCTTCCCGCTTGCATTTGGCTAGGTCCCCCCCCCCCCCCCCGCCACCCCACCCATCCATTCTCCCACCAGCAGCTCCCGGCCCCAGAGGTCACGTTCCAAACTTGGTGCTGACCATGCTGTCCATCCAAGTTCTTTGAAGCATTGCTTTCTGCTTTGCAAGCGCGGGGACCCCCCACCCCTCCCCACTCAGATCTGCTGCTGGGTGCCCCACAGAGCTGGGCTCCTGAGGGCCACTGCCACCACCCTGCCTTCTGGCCAGAGACTGAGAGCTGGACTGGGAGGGTAGTTCAGTGCCTGAGGGCAACCGGGAAGGAGATCCTGGGGTTGTCTGGCAGAGGGAGCTGGCGGTAGAGAGCCCCATCAGTGGCCAAGATGTCCAGCCTGCAGCCCTGCCTCCCTCGGGGACCCTTAGGAGAGAGAGGCCCTGGCCTGCCCGAAGTGGCGCGAGTTGCCCATCCTAACCTGCCGCCCTTCCCCAGCCCGAGCCAGCCAGCAGTGGCAGGACAGGGTGAGGCAGGTGGGTGCCAGGTGTGCGCACAAGGGCCAGCCCAGGCCCCCAGTTGGAGGAGGGTGGGGGGACGAGCCAGACCCCTGTTTGCCCAGCAGCGTAGGGGGCAGGTTCCAAGGCTGCTGCACCCCCCTGGCTGTTGCAGTGGGCTGGCCCGCTAGGCAGTGGTAGCAGCCCGCTCCGCACTCTGCCTCCTCTCCCTTCTTCATTCCTTTCCGTTCTGGGGATTCGCTGGATTGCCTGTTTGATGAGCTTTCTCGCGTGGCCAGGTGATCAGGGCTTCTTGGGCTATAGCCTAGCCACTCCGAGGTTCCCCCTGGCTGAGCCTAGCCAGCCAGGCAGCATCTCCGGAGTGCCCCCAGGGACACAGCAACTTGGGGTGCAGGGTGGTGAGTGGCGTTTTGTGGTCACCCTCGTGTGCAGAGGTTGGGGTGACCATCTGGCTGGTGACCCCCGGGGCCGGCAGGCTGGCTCTGGGCACTGCGTCCGTCTCTCCCTCCTCTCTGTCCCCAGAGCCGTGCAGGCCGCAGGGCCTTGGGGAGCATCGGGCTCTGCCTGGAACCAAGCCTCTCGGTGACAAAAAGGGACAGGTTGTCGGGTGCCTTCCTGGAAAAGGTTTGACACTTCTGACAGCTGGTAGCGCTGGCCAAGGCAGGCAGGGCATCGGCCAGGCCCTCTGGGGTTCCTGTGGGAGCCGCCTCAAGCCGCCAGCTTCCCGCCGAGTGGCTGCTCCTGGTGCTCCGTGTGCCGCCTTACTCCCAAGGGTGGCCCAGAGGGAGACGCAGTCAAGGCCTTGCCTCGCCCACCCCAGGCAGTGCCGCCTAGCAGGACGGATGGCACCATGGAGCCCTGGTGTCCGTGCTGTGGGGCCTCGCGGGACCCACAGCTTCCTGTGTGTCCACTCACTGTCCCACAGGCCTCTCTCCCTCTGGTCTTTGCTCAGGCATCCCTTCATCCAGGAAGCCTTTCCTGGCTTCCTGGTCCTGAACATGCCCTGGGGTGCTGTGCCACTCTGGCACAGCCACATTTCCTTGGCTCTGGTACTGCCTTCCTGATGCCCCCAGAGTGTCTGGGCTCTGTGCCACCTTTCCTTGTGGGTCAAGGTTGAGAGCAGGCCTGAGACCCCCAGGGGCTCTTGTGGGGGCGGGGGCAGGTTTTCTGCAGCAGCTGTGGCCCTGCGCTTGTGGCAACATCCAACCTGCCTGCCTTGACACCTATAAACAGACCACTATTGGCCACAAGGACAGCGGTTACCCAGAGCCGGTGCCTGAGGCCACCAGGCGGGCAGGCAGACAGGCCCCAGAACTAGGGCAGGAAGAGAGCTTAGTATACACAGCCCGAGAAGACCTTGGGTCGAGGTGGGTGAGGGACTCTTGAACTCAAGGTGTTCTGCATTTGGGTTTCGCTAAAACACAGCAAGGCTCTGGGAAAGCCGCCTCTTTGTAAGCAGGCTCCTCCCGCGTGGTTTGCTGACTGCAGGGTCTCCCAGGGGTCCTCGGGCTCTGCCTGCTGACCCTGCTGTGGCACTGGAGGTGCACCCGGAGGCGTGTCCACAGGGCCGTAGTCGGGTCTGGCCTCGGCCTAGAGCCTTGCCTGCTGGGTGGCCGGGACCCAGAGGCCTAGGAGGCCACGGCCATGGTGTGGGTCTGGGTTGCTCTCTCACCTTTGGCAGCCAGGGGTGGAGGGTGAGTAGCCACACTGGACCCGGGGTGCTACAAGCCAGGGGAGGGCTCCCCAAGAGTCTGCCTCCCCCACACAGTTGCCTTGTTGCTGTCCTTACGGGGGTTGGGTCTGTGCTGGGTGGTGGAGGAGGAAGATAAACAGCCACGGCCTCTTCCTCTTCCCCATGCAAGGCTGCTCTCCCCTCTAATGGCAGCCATAGCGTGAGGGACCCCCGGCCATCCTCAGGGCCACCGTGGACCCGCTCGTGCCCAGGTTCCAGTTTCCTTTGGGAACCCCAAGGGGCGTGGCTGTTTGTTCTGCTTGTCGCTGTTCAGGTACTTTATAGAGGCTGCCTCCCACTCCAAGCCTCTCCGCCCAGGTGTTCCACCTGGGACGTTGGCGCGTCCCCATAGCTGTGCCACGACACACCCTCATTGTCTAGCATGTCACCGTTCAGAAGAAAAGCGTTCTGTTTCGGCAGCAGTCGCTCACCGTGGCTGCTCCTGACCTATGTGCCTGTCGGGACTGGTGACTAGGAATGGCCGTATGCCGGGAACTCTCAACCATACAGGGGATGCCTGGGGTCTGAAGAAGGGACCGCAGTCCCTGGAGGGCAAATGAAGAGGCCAACATAGGGAGAAGAGGGGGGTCCTCATCCCCTGGGTACCCACCGGGCACTTGCGAGAGGTCTTTGGACTAAGCCCTTGGCATTGCCTGGATGCCCGCATATGCCCACGGCTCCGTTTCCCGGATGAGAAAGGCAAAGACTGGTGACATCAGAGCACGTGGCCCCCAGCCCTGTATTGCATCCCTGCCTGACTCAGCAGGTCAGGACCAAGCGGGCACACGCAGGCACTTCACCGTGGACCCCCTGTGGTCAGATTAGCTGGCGAGCATCAGGCTTCCTGGGGGAGGGGGAGGAGGCGGGGTCTCCTGCCTCTCACCCCCTTTCTCAAGGCCCTTATTCTTGGCTGTTCAGGAAGCCACTTGGCTCTGGTACTTCCTAATGAGATTGTACTGTTTGTTTTGGCTTCACCGGGTAGGGGGAGAAGTCTGCCATGCAGGGGAAGAAAAAGTCCCAAGGGTGAAGAGCTGGGGAGGCCTGGGGCCAGACGTGTGTGTGTGTGTGTGTGTGTGTGTGTGTGTGTGTGTGTGTGTGTACACACACAAGAATTCAAGCTCTGGATGCCCAGTCAGCATCCAAGAGCCGTAGCTGGGGACAGCACCATACAAGGCTGGTGGAGAGGGCCTGGTGGACGTGTGCCTTCTGCACCCCAAATGCAGAGTGGGGTGCTTGTCACCCAATATCTTCCTGGCGGGCAGAGGGAGGAGGCTGCTCAGCCAGGGCAATCCCTTTACCACCCGCCTCCTGCCCCAGAGGGATGACTCGCCCGGGCCTTTCCCTGTAGCATCAGGGGCTCCCCTCAGGCAGCTGGACCATGGCAGCTGGGGCCGGGGCAATGGTGTTTGGGGGCGTCGGTGAGAGGCGCCCTCCTGGCAGCCCGGCAGCCCAGCGTTGGCCGGCTGTATGCAGGCTCCTGGAGCCACAGAGCCGCGGCCGCCTCCGCATGTTTACATGGAAGATCTTCAGAAGGCCCACCAGGGCGCGTCAGAGCTAATCGGCAATCGTCAGCAGAGATTAACACTCTGCAGTTACAAAGCCTGGGTCACGTGCTGGTCCCT